ATGGAATTGTATTCAACCATAAGAATAGAGTAAATTCTGCCATATGCAACAACATGGATGGACCTTGAGATAATCATACTAAGCGAAATAAGCCAGACAGAAAAAGTTGAAAATCACGTGATATCACCTATATGTGGGATAGAAGCCTAAAAGCAACAAATGAACAGGACAAACAGAGACTCATGGATATGAACAGTAGACTAGTGGTTACCAGAGGGGAGGGGGAAAAATAAAAAATTAAAGGTAGAAAAAAATAATAAAAAAAGAAAACAATTAAATAGCTGAAATCCAGGTATCAGAAAGCCACCGCCACCAACGATATTACCACTATAGCCTCCTGACATTCACAAGGTGGTCTGGTCTCTGCTTACTCGAAAATTGTTTCTTGGTCCCCAGGAAGCTGGAGAATGGACAGTGGAATGTTGCTTTAGGAAATATCACATTAATGAACTTTTATTAGCATAAATCCCAAAGTCTCATTTCTGCCTTAGAAGGCATTTAACTTGTTTCTTTCTTCCAAGTTTCATGTGAATGAATCTAGCTGGCAGACTCTAATTTATATCCAGAATCCTAGCTGCAAGAGTCTGGGAGATGTCACTTTTAGCTTTCCAATCCCTTCAGCATAGAAAGATGTCTTAGGATGGAGGATGAATGAATCAACCCACCCTATTTACTAAAAACTCATTTCTTTTAACATCTGAATAACATTCCATAATACTGATATACTATGGTTTATTTAACTATTTCTCTATCAATTAATAATTTGTTTCCATTTTTTCCTATTGTAAACTTTTTAATAAACATCCTCATATATTTTTATTTAATTACATGTGTAATACATATATGATGTTATTGAATTGTACACTTGAAACCTATATAATGCTATGAACCAATATCACCCTAATAAATTTAAGTAAAAAAAGGAAAAATAAATTACATGTGCAAAGATAGATATCTAGAGAGATATCTAGAAGTGAAACTGGTTATAGGGGAGATAGTTTTAAAATTAAATAGATGCTGTCAAGCTGCCCTCCAAAGTTGTTGCCTCAATTCTAATTCCTGCCATCAACATATGAAAGCCTATTTCTCCACATGCTTATCAAATACGGAAAAAATATTTTTAATTTTAGTAGTGTTTTATTGTTGTTTCAATGTATATTTCTATAATTACCAATGAATTGAATTAAGCAACTTTTTATATGTTAATGGTACATCTGTATTTCTTCTGTGAATACTCTGTTAAATTCTATATATAATTAGCATTCAGTTATTAAAACATTTTATTAACTTTTAGGTCTACGTATATTTTGGATGTTAATCACTTATTTCAAACAATATAATTTATTAACTGAACATCTACTGGATACTAGGCATTCTCATGATCATTATGAAAAACAAAAATATAAAATACAGTCCTTGCCTCCAAGTTCAAACAGCTTGTACTTTCATCGGGATCATAGGGCCATCCACAAGACAAATTTAAAGAGGAATCAATATAACATAGCAGATGATTAAATCCAAAATGACTACTGATGACAGTAAATATTAGAGGCCAGGAAAAAGAGATCAAAGGGGATAATGCTTTACAGGCGAGGCTTCATGAAGAAAGTGGCAATTAGGTTGGACCATGAAGCATAAAGAAACA